ATTGTGAATAGAGTAAGTAATACATACGTTTCTTCAATATGTTGTTTTCTTCTTGAAAAAAATCCACATCTCTTTAGTTTTCTTAGCATGAGTTCCACTTTGTTTTTGATTTGAGTTAGGTTGATGAATAGTTCTCTCCCTTGCCACGGGGGTTTTTCTCCGGGTTTTCCACCTTCTATAAAATTCAACATATGAGTTGATCGAGAGTTGAATGTTGTAAATAATGAGTTGAGAGTCGTGCACATAGAGGTGTGTGTAAGTGAATGTGTGACAAAATAGGGAATCATTTTTTCGCGCTAGTTTTTTTTCCTTCTATAAAAAAGATATACGTCAGTCATAAATAGTTGTAACACGCCCTCTTTTGGGGTCCTTCACTGGGTGTGATGTGAGGATCTTAACTCATATGAATCTTCTATCTAAAATAAATAAATAATCAGGTGTATTTTCAAGCCCCGGCAATAAATGACTTACTCTTAAACAAATATACACCAAGAAATTAAAAGACAATTGAGAGAGTCATCGGCTCAAAAGAAATTAAATGACATGAGATCATAATTAATTAATAATTATAATTAATAATGAAGAGGTTGGGTCCAGAAATAGAAAGAAGTTGTCGAAAATTTAAATTGAACTTTGGGATTTGATACTATCGTCGTGTACGGATTAACGAAGTACGTCATAGGTTTCCGAACACACGAGTGGGACTTAGAAATTTTGGTTCTCCTYACTTAGAAAAAAAATTAAGTGAAGACAACAAGAATCGAACTCGGTACCTTCGGCACCAAAGAACTACTACAATGCCAACCCCAACCCTAACTCTAACCCCAAGACCACGAAAGTGAATTCGGTTGGGTGGTCTCATTTTTTAGTCATATTTAAACGATGTATCATCAGCGCGTGCACATAAATATTTATTATAGTTTAATTTATGCTATCGTAGGTACGATTACTAGCCGATTACTTGAAATTTGAATTTGAATAGAATTCCCCTGACAATTCCCGTACACGAC